GGATTTTTTTAGTACTTTTTTTAGTTTGAGGGTATTTTTAGTCCAAAAATGAAAGTTCAGGGACTGAATCGGGGATATAACCTCTTTTAAATTACTAATTCTTTGATTTAATTATTAAATATAATTAATAATTATAATTATTAACTAATAAATATTACAAGAACGACTAATATTTATTGTTTCACATATTAAAATCAGCAAAGTATAACCCAATATTTTTAATTACCGTAACTAAAGTGGGAGAAATGGAGAGGAACGGTGCCAGCGGAATTAGGAAACAGATCTTTTTCATTCCGCCAGGGCCCAGTCCAATGCCCAAGTTATAACACCAGAAATCTATAGCATGGCATTCATGGATGTTCCTACTTTGGGTCCAACATGAACATACCTATTCCGTGACTTATTAGCACTTTCCACCTATACAATTTTCCATTTTTTTGAATAAGGGCAATTTTAGGAGAAAGGGGAAGGGAATGGATCCAACCTATAGATTGAAAAAAGTATAACTTTGAGGTTAAGGGTAAATATTCAAGTAGTTGATGAGACTTGAACTCTCAATCACCTTAAATATTAAAACTTAGAACGAACTATTAAATGTAAAGGATAAGTTCTTCTGCCTATGCAATTGAGCAAAATGCAGTTAAGAAAATTGTTCTATGTCATCATCTACCAAGAAATCAAAGGTGAATAATACAGCATCCATTGCATAAAAGATTCAGACAGCTTGGTTTTGGCAAACTACGTATGTCTTCCACTGCATGGGGGAGAATAGTTTGTTTTCTTCCCCTCTTGTGATTAGCAGTTTCTCAACCCAAGTCATCATGCAACTTGGAAATTTCATTGGAGAACATAGGTTGCACAATCCGCTGGATGGCTCACTAACTGAACAATCTCAACTGAGCCAAGAAGTTGGAGAATTGTTTCTATCCGGACTCCGGGGAAGATACGGCGAAAGCACAATTTGAAACAAAATAGTGAAAACCAAAAGTAAAGAATGAGTATATATATTAACATATAAAGGGCTCAAACACCTAATGCGAATGATATATATATATATATATATATATTGTATTGAATTGAGAGACAATTATTTTTTATCTTTTATCTCATTTTATTTGTATATTATGCAATTTAAACTTCAAATCTCTTATTTTTATTAAAAAAAATTATCACTGAACTATTTATTTTATCAACTAATATAAATCATAATAAAGGCAATCCAATGGCTTAACTTTAAAACAAAAGATGAAAAATTACAAGAAACAATATATCTATATATGAAAAATTGCAGAAAAAAAAAAGTGAGAACTACACAAATGACAACCACTCTATCATTGAGGACAAGTTCCTCAACTTGACCTACACTTCATTACGTAAACTTCTTTCTCTTCCTGATTCATCTGTTTTATCACAAAATTTGGAACATAGTAGGACAAAGGCAAAAATGACAGGCCATACAGAAATTTGGATCTGGATTTTGGTGTGTTGAATAAGCAGAACATAATTAGCTGTTGTAAGGATTGACTGACAGACAGCACAAGTGAATCCAACAACATCAACTATCTTGCTGAAGGAGGAGTTTCTGTTGTTCTGCCTCCGCGTCCAGGTGACTCTTTTCTTTCTTCCTTGGTACACAAGCTCGACGATGCATAGAACAAGGCCTGCAAAGGACAGCAACATGAGTGTCATCGCGTACAGAGGTTTAGGGATAGAGGAAAGCTGGTCAAACACAGCTGAAGGAAGCTCTAGGACGAAGTTGGCCGTGACCAAGATCCGCCCAAAAGAAACCATCTAGAACAAAAGAAACAGATACATTAGAGAGAGAAAATAATGACGCTGCAAAGTTGAAAACTTAATTCCAAAAGAAAAAAGGCTCTTCTGTTGCTGCAACTCCTCTTCTTAACTTCAAGTCCTGTTCCAAAATTCAACACACCTTTGATTTCTCTGGCTTCTCTTCAGACTCTGCTTCGATCTGCTGGGGCAAACGTGATGAGGATTGTTCACACGTATGTCTTCCCCGATAGATGACCTCAAAGATTGAGGGGTCATCGTTCGATCTCTGAACTTGCTTAGTGGCCTGACATCCCTGAGAATGACGGTGGGTGCACCTATAATATCCCCTGCAATTTGCAAATGTAGCAAGAATTAGATGGTGTACAAGTAGAATTATATTAAACACATTTGTCACCCCATTCATAATGCCCAAAGGTGTAGAATGACTGAACTTGGACACTGTTTTATAGCCCTTGCAAGATTCAGTATTTCTCAAATTCATTTGCTATCTTCTTTTATCTTTTGGATAAGCTGTGAGTTTGATTTCTGAATTAAAGACAAAAGAAAGAAAGAAAGAAAAGAAATATTCTTCCGAATGTTAAGGTATTGGGAGTGTGATTCCTAATACCTGAACACTAATTCTAACCTTGGATATTTGGAACCAAGAATATCTTTCTGCCCATATTTTCTCCAGCTGTATCCATCATCAAGAGGAACTTGTGATCCGGTGGGAACCTTAAAAAGCTGAGTCCACGTAGCCATTGCCTTTCTGCAATTTGTAAATGTACTGTGAATATATTATATTTAGAAAAGTTATAATATATGTTGTATTGGTAAAAGGAGATAAAAGGGTGTAATATAATACAGTTTACTCCATTAGAGAGTAATCTATAATTTCCTGTATGCTACATAGACATATCCCAAGGGCTAAGGCACAAAGTAGCGCAAAAATCCAAGAAAAATGAAATCCACGATGCCCAAAAGTGTAGAATAATTGAACTTGGACACTGTTTTGTAGTCCTTGAAAAATTCAACTTTTCACAAATTCAGTTGCTCTGTTCTCTATCTTTTCGATAAGCTGTGAGCTTGATTTCTGGATTAAAGTAGAGAGAGAGAAGTCTTCTAAGGTTCCAACCTTGGATAAAAAACCCAAACCCGAAATCATAACCGGATCACAAATTCCATTCTAAAAGAATTAAATAGTAAATTAATGAAGGCAAAACTATAAGTTAAGCCCCTGAACTAATCCCAGAATCGCTATTAAGCCCCTAGACTTTAATTGATGCAGTTAAGCCCTTGAACTCTGGGATCAAAGCAATGAAGCCCTTCTTCTTACACTATTAAGTCCCTAGACTTTAATTTTTAAAATAAATTGCTTAAGAAGAAGGGCTTAATTGCTTTGATCCCAGAGTTCAAGGGCTTAACTGCATCAATTAAAGTATAGCGGCTTAATAACCATTCTGGGGTTAGTTCAGGGGCTTAACTTATGGTTTTGCCATTAATGAATTACCTCTCTCTGGGGACATCTCTATAATCGGAAGCGGCGCTGTGGGTGACCGCTTCGGATAAAACACCGGAGTTTCCAGGGGGAAGTTCCTTCACATGGGAACGAAGTGTTTCCTCTCCTGATAAGAGCTGCGCTTCAGTAGATGAGGAAGGATTGAGATGGTTCTGGAACTGCATAGAGATATCTTCCTCTTCTGTTAGGTCATCCGAGAGGCTCCACTGCTCCAAATCCATATCCTTTTCCATTTACAGTATTCACCAAGATCCAAGATTCCCCAAATTGTTCAAGTAAGAAAACTGAAGCAACGCTGGATTATGTTAAGAAGATCAAATTCCGAACAAGGATGATATAAAGGTGAAGAAGGGAGAGTGGAGAGTAGGTTTGAACTTTGAAAAGGAAGGGGAGAAGAAAGGAGGATACTTCAGAGAAATGAGATGGAAAAGGAGAGGATTTTGCTTGGAAAAAATTAAGTAAAAAAAGAGATGGGGGGATTTCATTTCTTCTTGGAAGTAATACGGCAGAGGGGCATCAGAGGGGAGAGGATTTGTCCGCTTATTCAAACCACCAACAGGAGCTCGGAATGGAAGAATAAAATAAATAAATAAATAAATATAAATATAAATAAAAAGATGTCGACAGAGACCTTTCATAATTCAAACCCTCTCCGCGTTGTTCTATTAACTTAAAAACTCACTTTAATTTTGCATTGGCCCTATCTTCAAAATCTAACGTATCATTACGAAACAGAAATCATCCAATCTTGGAGAAATGGAGAGGAACAGCAAAAGGGGAATATTAGGAAACAGATCTTTTCCATTCCGCCATGGCCAAGTCCAATGCACGAGTTATAACACCAGAAATCTATAGCATATCATTTAAGGATGTTCCTTCCTTGGGTAAAACATGAGCATACCGATTCTGTGACTTACTAGCACTTTCCAGGAAATTGTTCGATTGGATCTACCAAGAAATTAGAGAAAGGTGAATAATACAGTATCCATTGCATACAACAGACAGGATGGTTTTGGCAAACTACGCTATCATCCATTTTGTGAGAGAATTGTTTGTTTTCTCCCCCTATTGTTACTAGTTTCTCAACCCAAGTCGTAATGCTATCTGGAAAATTTCAGTTAGGATTATATAGGTTGCACAATTCACTGGATAGCTTTATTATGGTTCCCGACCAATCAATAAGCTGTAGTAGAAACTAGAGATCAACAATCCGAGTTGGATTTCCGTGTGCAACTATGGCTGTGATGGAGAGGGGGACGTCGGAGGCTTTAAGTCTGGGTACTGCAACCAGTAAGATAAAAAAAGGAGAAAGGTGAGTGTTTGTATAGTGCATTAATTGTTAAAAGAGAGGAAGGAAATTAGCATCGCAGAGAGTTTAAGGAGCATATGAAGTGATTATTACATATGGATATGGAGAAAGAGGTTTTGGAAATCCAGAAACTGATTCTGCCGTGGCTTCTGTTTTGGCTACTGAATTAATCTGGGGAGAGCGTTCTGCAACGGCTTCAACTTTTGGTTCTGTTGTGAGCGGAGCTGGCTCAGCTTTCTGCATCTTAGCAGGCTCTGGGTTTGCCTCTGCAGGTGCTGGAAGAGCCTCGCCATTCACAGAAGATGGTAGGAGAGCCTTCCCTATTTGCTGAGTTTTGCAGGTTTAAACAACACAGACAGAATATGAACATGAGAAATAGGCAATAGTTTAATTTGTTTACAAATATCAAAAATATGAGAACAAAAGAATACAAATTATTAGACAGTTTACACCATACTGCAATGTATCATGAAGATTCAGTTTTTGTTTCAAGGTAAATATACTAAATAATTTTCTTAAAGAACACTAATCTTGTTTACCAGGAAAAATTGGTGTTGAAATAATAACCGAAAAAAGCATTGAGTCTATACATACCTTAAGCTCATCAACAAGTTCCTTGGGAGCAACTTTGGTGTTCAAGAATTCATCAACTTGTTGAAGAGTTTGCTTTCGGTTCTGTTACAGACACGAAGTCATGACTAAGTTCAACATAGCTACAGCCTCACTATTCCTTATGATGGCAAAGTTCAAAAGGCCACACTTAGATTTTATATATAATGTGTTTCTTGCTCACTAACGTATAGAAATGAGCATTACTTCATCTGATGAGCCAAGAAGAGATTTTGTCAAACAAATTCATGAAAATATAAGCAGAAGTAAACGGACTAGCCTCTGCAAATAACAGTTTCTTGCCCAATAACTGAATAATTGCAGCTGAGCCAAGAAGTTGGAGAATTGTTTCTATCTGGATAAGATGCAGCAAAAAGCACAGTTTTCAATAGCCCATCACAAGTTTTTGAAAGAATAAATAAAATACTGAAAACCAAAACTAAAGAATGACAAAGTCAAAATAAATTAATGGGTAAAGGGCTCAGAAACCTAACCTCTGTGAATGCTAATAAACCCAACCCAGTAGCTGCAGCAATTGCAAGAGTAACTGGCAGGGCCTCGGATCCTTCCTGCATATTAATCTCCATCATTACCATTAAGAAGATATCTATACTCAACTATAAAAAAGCTGAAAATACTTCAAGGTGAAGGCAAGAAATCAACCATGCTATGCTGTTCCTCTACTAATGTATTGATTATATTCTACATTCTTTTCCCACTTTACATTCAAACATAGCAAAACATAGGAACAATTTATAAACGAATGCATGACAGTTAAAATTTTAAAAATGCACAAGGAAATATTAAAGATCGTACTCCAAGTTCCCCACTGATGGACTCTGTCAAACTGCTTAGGTCAAGACTCAGTGCTTTCTTTGGTGGTATCCAGGGAAGACCACTGTTCTGCAAAAATTGTAATCCATCTCAAAGGTTTTCATGGCTAAACGCATTAAAATACCAAATGACAACTGGATGGAAAATGAAATAACACAAAAAACGGATTAGCAAATACCATCCATCCTCGGGGTCCTTCCGCACCATCTTTTATTGCATAGGCAGCTTTGAATCCATTTATGGCAACCAACTCCGCAACCAATTCAGAGTTCCCATCAAATCTGGCTTTCAATGCAAATTCAGAAACATTAGACAAAGAATCAATTTGATATTGTAGTTTTAATCATTTTTCTACAGCAAAACAATGCACATAAAATAGAAGGCAGAAGAGAGAAAGGATAAGCAGTTTTTACTTGTCAGCCAGTCACTCCAAGTGCAGAAATTTAATTCTGTTGTTCTGTTTTGCTCTATGTTCGAGCAAAATAACAAATGAATAGACCTTAGATACAATGATTGGTGCCTGTCTTACCCTGTTGGTGAAGTTGGCCTAGAAGCCTTACATGTACGGTATCTTGGGAATTCAGTCAATATGATGCACAACTAGAGAACAATAAATTTTTTGCAACAACAATAATTTATTAGGAAATGGAAATTTCAAAGTATTTGAAGTATACACCATATCTTATATTTTGTCATAATTTTTATGAATCAGCAGTTGAATATGACCATATTTACAAGATAAAATGATATAATGTAGGCAAAATTATAAAAGCAAAAGTTCCCAATCTGAACCAGTCCTTATAATTGAGACAACACTGCTAAAAGCATAAAACTTGATTCTTGTTTTGCTCTGGACTGTATTCCATACTTCCCAAGAATTGTCACTTATTAGATTCTTTATCAACTTTTGTAGGCATAAGAACAGTTCCTTTAAACAACAGGGAATGCCAAAGGTTTTAACCCAATTCTCAGTTTTTGTTGGAGCTATGGCATGAAAGCTGAAAATGCAAATGAAATAAGAACTGCTGAATGATGCTGCAACATGACTGCACGGTGGCAGCAAAGTGACAGCAGCATGGAGCTGCACATGGGCTACAAGAAATGGCAGCAAACTTCAACATTTAGTCAATGTTTTATGTAGTTAACAGTTATTGTAATAGGTAGAAAAATATTATTGTTTTATGTGTAGCCTTCCTCTATAAAAAGGAAGGAAGAAATTGAATGAATATTGAGTAAGAGAAAGCATGGTTTCTCCTCTCCGGTTGGGTGAATGTCTGCACCCTTTCATGTTTATAACTTTATGTTCTATGTTATGTTCTAAGTTCTACTCTCTTCAAGTCCTCTCTCAACCCTTTCTTCTTACTTCAAAAATCTAACAGTTTTCTCCAATCCGAAACCTTAGTTTTGAAGAGTTCCAGATTTCCTATTCATCAATTTCTTATCAGATATGTTTAGCATAATAGAGTTTCAAAGTTTCTTTATCTAGTATCCTGTTCCTCTCCATTTCTTCCATATTACCTCAGACTTGACTAGGAGTGAAGGTCTAATAAAAGCTTACTTGCCCAGAATAAACAATGTGGTATTTTCCAGTTTCTTGAACTTCAAAGACAGCTTCTTCAAGAACCCGGGCTTATCGTCACCCTTGTAAACAATCGACACTGGCTTCTTACCCAAACCCCTGACATCAGGACTGCCAACCTCCCTTAACTCCTCTGGCCCCCTTATATCAATTATCAAGCAATTGAGCACTGGCATCCTCCCCCAGCTTTGCACAAGCACTCTTCGGAGACTCACTACCCCATGGCTTAGACTTGCCAAACACCTGAGACAGAACAATTGGAAGAACCAAAATGGCGGCGCCGCTGGCTACAATAGCAGGATTCTCCGTTACAAAGCCAACAACAGTATCAAGAACCCCACTCGATTCAACTTCAGATCCGGAGGAAGCCGTCGACTGCTGCAACGCTTCCTCAGGGCATAAAAATATGTTCTTGAAAATGGCCATCAAGATGAAGTGAGGAACTGACTTTTCTACCCATAGCATATTACTCCTAATTTTATCCATAAAAGGAGGATAAGAGGAAGACAATTATATTTTGTTTGAAACACTACACAAAAACCTATGATGGGTTCCATTAACAGAGGGGAACTAACCCCTCAGCAACCATTCTTGGATGAAGTTGCTTTATTTCCATCCTGCGTGTATTAAGTTGCTTTATTGTTTTGTGAGCGTGAGCCTCTCGTTCTTTTGATGCTCTGTTTCTCTTATTGCCCCCATAGATGTTATTTTTCAGATTGAGTTGCAAGGGTTGTGATTGATACCTCCAATAGTTAAGGTCACATAAAATTTTAAATGACACTTATATTTTAAATCACTAACTCTTTGATTTGACTATTAAATATAATTAATAATTGTAATTATTAACTAATATATATTATAAAAACAATTAGTATTTATTGTTTAACATATTAAAATTAGCTAAGTATAAGCCAATATTTTCATTTACTGTAACTGAAGTGGGAGAAATGGAGAGGAACGGTGCCAGCGAAATTAGGAAACAGATCTTTTTCATTCGGCCGCGGCCCAGTCCAATGCCCAGGCTATAGCACCAGAAATCTATAGCATGGCATTCAAGGATTTTCTTACTTTGGGTCCAACATGAACAGACCTATTCCGCGACTTATTAGTTATTAGCACTTTCCACCCATACAACTGAGCAAAATGCGGTTGATCGACAAAATGGCAAACTGTGATATAAGGACCCAAACTTGCACAACTTTTGCAATTTTGGGCCCAAACTTCAATTGTGCTTAATTAAGGTTCTAAACTACATAAAATTTTCAAATAAGGCCTTAATTGGATAAAATATTCTCTTGCTAGATGAAATATTCTCTTGGTGTCATATGTCTTGGCTACTTGTTAATAGTTTGTAATTCCCTCAGCCAACTGAATTATCACATGGGAAAACATGCTTATTGGTCATTGCCATGTGGATGTCACTGGTAGGTCGTAACTTTTTTTGAGGAAAATCTCGCTAAAGAGAGTCAACGTGGCATCCACATAGCAATGACAAATCAACATGTTTTCCCATGTGGCAATCCAATTGGCTAAGAAGTTACAGACGGTTAATAGGCAACGAAGGCATTTGACCGTCAGAGAATATTCCATTTAATTAGGATTTTATTTGAGAATTTTGTGTAGTTTGAGACCTTAATTGAGCACAATTGAAGTTTGAGTCAAAAATTGAGAAATTTGTGCAAGTTCGAGACTTTTTTTATACTTTTGCTTGAGAAAATTGTTCGATTTCATCATTTACCAAGAGATCAAAGGTGAATAATACAACATCCACTGCATAAAAGATTCAGATGGCTGGGTTTTGGAAAACTATATTATCTTCCACTACATGAGAGAGAAGAGTTTGTTTTCTTCCCCCCTCGTTATTAGCAGTTTCTCAACCCAAGTCATCATGCAACTTGGAAATTTCATTGGAGATCACAGGTTGCAAATTCGTTGGATGGCTCACTAATTGAACAATCTCAGCTGAGCCAAAGTTGGAGGTTCTTATCCGGACTCCAAAGAAGATACAACGAAAGCACAATTTGAAACAAAATAGTGAAAACCAAAACTAAAGAATTATGAGTAGAAATACATTATTAGGTAAAGGGTTTAAACACCTAATGTGAATGATATATATATTTTTTATATTGGGTTACATAATAAGAAACAACCCTCTCTCATCTCTTAACATATTTCACTCACATGTTATCTAATTTAAACCTTAAATCTTTTCACTTTCACTTAAAAAAAATTACTACTAAATTACTTAAATCGTTAACCAAAATGTGGATGATAATAAACTCAATCTAGTAACTTAACTTTAAAATAGAAGATGAAAAATTACAAGAAACAATATATCTACATATAAAAAGATGAAGAACAAAAAAATAAACGTGAGAAACTACACAAATGGCAACTATGCTACATTGAGGACATGTTCCTCAACTTGGCCTACTTCAGTATGTGAACTTCTTTCCCCTCTCGATTTATCTGTTGTCTCACTAAATTCGACAAATAGTTGGACAAAAGCAAAAATGACAGGCCATACAGAAATATGGATCTGGATTTTGGTGTGCTGGATAAGCAAAAGATAATTAGCTGTTGTAAGGATTAACTGACAGATAGCACAAGTGAATCCAACAATTTCAGCGACGTTGCTGAAGGAGTTTCTGTTGTTGTTCCCCCGAGTTCCGGTGACTCTTTTCTTTCTTCCTGGGTACACAAGCTTGATGATGCATGGAACAAGGGCTGCAAAGGACAGCAGCATGAGTATCAGCGCGTAGTGAGGTTTATGGATAAAGGAAAGCTGGTCAAATATAGCTGAAGAAAGCTCTGAAGAAAGCTCTAGGGCGAAGTTGGCCACGAGCAAGATCCGCGTTAAAGAAACCTTCTAGAACAAAAGAAACAGATATTTTAGAGAGAGAAAATAATGACGCTGCAAAGTTGAAAACTTAATTCCAAAAGAAAAAAAGGCTTCCCTAATTGCTCCAACTCCTCATCTTAACTTTAAGCCCTGTTCCAAAATTCAACACACCTCTGATTTCTCTGGCTTCACTTCAGACTCTGCTTCGATCGGCTGGGGCAAATGTGATGAGGATTGTTCACACGTATGTCTTCTCCGATGGGTGACCTCAAAGATTGAGGGGCCATTGTTCAATCTCTGAACTCGTTTAGTGGCCAGACATCCCTGAGAATCACGGTGGGTGAACCTACAATGTTCCCTGCAATTTGCAAATGTAGCATGAATTAGATGGTGTACAAGCCCTAAATTCCGAAGAAAAATGAAACCCCATTCATAATGCCCAAAGGTGTAGAATGACTGAACTTGGACACTGTTTTGTAATCCTTGCAAGATTCAGTATTTCTCAAATTCATTTGCTATGTTCTTTTATCTTTTGGACAAGCTGTGAGTTTGATTTCTGAATTAAGGAAAAAAAAAAAAAAGAAAGAAAAGAAATATTCTTCTGAATGTTAAGGTATTGGGTGTGTGTGTGATTCCTAATACCTTAACACTAAATTCTAACCTCGGATATTTGAAACCAAGAATATCTTTCTGCCGATCTTTTCTCCAGCTGTAACCATCACGATGAGCAACGGTCCACATTAACGCTGTCTCCCTATAAGATCAAAAAACCCGACTCACACCCTGATCACTTTTTCCATTCAAAAATGTTATTCAACTATTATAGCAAATTAATTAATCAATTACATCTTCCCGGAGACATCTTTATCATCAGAAGCAGCCCCCGTGGGCTCCACAGCTGCGGCAGTTGCTAAATGGGATGATTGTTTACACGTATGTCTTTCCCCACTATAGGTGACCACAAAGAGTCTGGGATCTTCGTCCGATCTCTGAACTTGCTTAGTGGCCAGACATCCCTGAGAAATACTGTGGGTACACCTAAAATATTCCCTGCAATTTGCAAAGGTATTGTGAATTTTTTTTTCCTTTTTTCACAAAAGTGATAATATATCTTGTATTGATAAAAAGAGATAGGAGTAGTATAATACAGTTTACTTTATTAGAAAGCAATCTATAATTTTGGTATGCTACATAAATATATCCCAAAGGCTAAGGCACAAAGTAGCGCAAAAATCCAAGAAAAATGAAATCCATGACGCGCAGAAGTGTAGAATAATAGAACTTAATTGGACAGTGTTTTGTAGCCCTTGCAAAACTCAGCTTTTCTCAAATTCAGTTGCTCTGTTATCTATCTTTTCGATAAGCTGTGAGTTTGATTTGTGGATTAAAGTAAAAAGAAAAAAAAAAAAGTCTTCTAAGGTTCTAACCTTGGATATTTGGAACCAGGAACAGCTTTCTGCGCACATTTTATCCAGATGTATCTATCAACGTAAGTTGTAGAAGTCCACTTTGGTTCTGTATTTCTACAGGATCAAAAAACTCAAACCCGAAATCAGAACCGGATCACATTTTCCATTCTAAAAGAATTATAAGAGTAGCAAATTAATTTTTTTTTTTTTTTTTTATGGTAGTAAACTAATGAATTACCTCTTTCTGGGGACATCTCTATTATCAGAAGCGGCACTATGGGTGAACGCCTCGGATAAAACACTGGGGTTTCCAGTGGGAAGTTCCTTCGCATGGGAACAAAGTATTTCCTCTCCTGATAAGAGCTGCGCTTCAGTAGTTGAGGAAGGATTGAGAAGGTTCTCGAGCTGCTTAGAGATATCTTTCTCTTGTGAAGCACCCTCGGTGGGCTCCACAGCTGCGGCAGTAGCCAAATGGGAGGATTGCTCACAGATATGTCTACCCCGATATGTGACCTCAAAGCTTGTGGAATCTTCGTCCGATCTCTGAACATGCTTAAGGGCCATACATCCCTGAGAATCATGGTGGGTGCACCTGTAATATTCCCTGCAATTTGCAAATGTACTGTGATTATATTATATTTAGAAAAGTGAAAATATATGTTGTATTGGTAGAAGGAGATCAAAGGGTGTAATTTAATACAATTTACTCCATTAGAGAGTAATCTATAATTTTCTGTATGCCATAGAGATATATCCCAAGGGCTAAGGCACAAAGTAGCGTAAAAACCCAAGAAAAATGAAATCCATGATTCCCAAAAGTGTAGAATAATTGAACTTGGACACTGTTTTGTAATCCTTGTAAAATTCAACTATTCTCAAATTCAGTTGCTCTGTTCTCTATCATTTCAATAAGCTGTGAGTTTGTTTTCTGGATTAAAGTAGGAAAAAGGAAAAAGAAGAAGAAGAGGAAGTCTTCTAAGGTTCTAACCTTATACATTTGGAACCAGCAGCAGCTTTCTGATCATATTTTTCCCAGCTGTATTCATCAACGTAAGTTGTAGCAGTCCACTTTGGTGCTGTATTTCTACAGGATCAAAAAACCCTAACCCAAAATCAGAACTGGATCACATTTTCCATTCTAAAAGAATTAAATAGCAAATCAATTAATCAATTACGTATTCCGGGAGACATCTTTATCATCGGAAGCATCCTTGGTGGGCTCCACAGCTGCGTCCGTAGCCAAATGGGACGATTGTTTACACGTATGTCTTCCATTATAAGTGACCTTAAGGATTGAGGGGTCATCCCTCGATATCTGAACTCCCTTAGTGGCCGGACATCTCTGAGAAAGATGGTCGATGCACCTATAATATTCCCTGCAATTTGCAAATGTAGCATGAATTAGATGGTGTACAAGCACCAAATTCTGAGAAAAATGAAACCCCCTCAATAATGCCCAAAGGTGTAGAATGACTGAACTTGCACACTGTTCTGTAGTCCTTGCAAGATTCAGCGCGCATTTCTCAAATTCATTTGCTATCTTCTTTTCATCTTTTTGGATAAGCTGTGAGTTTGACTTCTGAATTAAAGAAAAAAAAGAAATATTCTTCCGAATGTTAAGGTGTTGGGTGTGTGATTCCTAATACCTTAACACTAAATTCTAACCTCGGATGTTTGGAACTAATATCTGTCTGCTGATCTTTTATCCAGCTGTATCCATCAGCAACAGGAGCAGTCCGCATCAACGCAGTCTCTCTACAAGATCAAAGAACCCGAAATCAGACCCGCATCACATTTTCCTTTCCAAAGTATTATTCAATTATTATGACAAATTAATTCATCAATTACATCTTTCTCCAGACTTCTTGATCGTCGGAAGCCGCCTCCGTGGGCTCCACAGCTGCGGAGGCCGCCAAACGGGAGGATTGTTTGCACGTATGTTTTCCCAGATGGATGACCATAAAGCGTGTGCAACCTCTGTCCCATTTCTTAACACACTTCCTGGCCAGACATCCCTCAGATTTAATGTGGGGACAACAAAAATTTTCACTGCAATTTGTAAATGTAGCATGAATTAGATGTTGTACAAGCATTAAATTCCGAGAAATATGAAACCCATTCATAATGCCTAAAGGTGTAGAATGACTGAACTTGGACACTGTTTTGTAGTCCTTGCAAGATTCAGCATTTCTCAATTTCATTTGCTATCTTCTTTTTTATCTTTTGGATAAGCAGTGAGTTTGATTTCTGAATTAGAGAAAAAAAAAAAAAGAAAAAAAGAAAAGAAATATTCTTTTGAATGTTAAGGTATTGGGTGTGTGATTCCTAATACCATATCGTTGGATATTTGAATCCAAAAATCACTGTCCGCGCATATTTGATCCAGCTGTATCCATCAAGACGAGCAACAGCCCACATTAACGCTGCCTCTCTATAAGATCAAAAAACCCAAAATCAGAGCCGGATCACATTTTTCAGTCGAAAGTACTATTCAATTATTATAGCAAATTAATTAATCAATTACATATTTCCGGAGAAAACTGGATAATCGGAATCTTCCTCGGAGGTGTACAGAGCTTGGCCGGTATACAAGTGGGAGAATTGTGTACACGTATGTCTTAGCAGATGGATGACCTTAAAGAGTGGGGGATCTTCGTCCAATCTCTGAACTTGCTTACGGGCAGGACATCCCTCGGACCTATGGTGTTTACACCTAAAAAATTCCCTGCAATTTGCAAATGTACTGTGAATATATTATATTTAGAAACGTGGTAATAGATGTTGTATTGGTAAAAGGAGACCAAAGGGTGTAATATAATACGGTTTACTCCATTAAAGAGTAATCTATAATTTTCTGTATGCTACATAGATATATCCCAAGGGCTAAGGCACAAAGCAGCGCAAAAATCCATGATGCCCACAAGTGTAGAATAATTGAACTTGGACACTGTTTTGTAGTCATGGTAAAATTCAGCTTTTCTCAAATTCAGTTGCTCTATTCTCTATCTTTTCGATAAGCTTTGAGTTTGTTTTCTGGATTAAAGTAGAGAAAGAAGAAGAAGAAGAAGAAGAAGAAGAAGAAGAAGTCTTCTAAGGTTCTAACCTCGGATATTCGTAACCAGCAACAGCTTTTTGCCCACATTTTCTCCAGCTGTATCCATCATCATAAGCTGTTTTTGTTCTTGTTTCTCTGATATGTACATCAACAAAAGTTGTAGCAGTGCACTCTGGTGCTGTATTTCTACAGGATCAAAAAACCCAAACCCGAAATCAGAACCGGATCACATTTTCCATTCTAAAAGAATGAAATAGCAAATTAATGAATTACCTCTTTCGGGGGACAGGTTCATCATCGGCAGAGGCGCTATGGTTGACCGTTTTGGGTAAAATACCGGTGTTTCTGGTGGGACGCTCCGTCAGATAGGAACGAAGT